GACTTTTTGGCTGAAAAAAAAATAAAGAAAGAATTTCTGTGTTTTTCAAGGTAAATCAGTTTGATGATGCTAAATTTCATAATAAATGTTATGAGTGTTTCTATTATGAAAATTATGATGATAAATCGATTCAATCAATAAAATCAATCACACCTGAACACAAAAAATTCATTAATTATTTTAACCTTGATCTAATTTGATTAAATTATGTAAATTTTTGTTGTTGTTGCTGCTGCTGCTGCTGCTTGAAATGAATAATGTTTCCTATTTCTTTCCTCATTCATTCTTTCTTTCATTCGTTTGTTTCGTTTCTCGTTGTATTCAAATTTATTCAAATCAAAGCAACAAAAAAAAACATTGTATTCATACATTGTTTCCACTCTTTGGAAACCGAAACAAAAAACAAAAAACATTTGAAAAAAAGGATAGACATTTCTGAATAAATAAAGAAAATGAACAGCATCTATTCAATCACAATCTCCACATCAATCAATCGATTTTGATCTATAAACATTGCAAAACTTGTTACTTTTTATGGTTATAAACAAACGTGTGTGTGTAATATGTTTGTGTTGATTGTAAATTGCAGTGAAATACACACATACACTAACATCCTACACATCATACCGGTAGTTTTATTACATAATTCGATTGATTTGATTGTAAAAGAATGATGATGATGATGATCAATTACAATCAATCAATCAATCGATCAATATCAATCAATCAAATCAAATGATCGATATGTATCAATCGATTTTTTTATGGAAAAAAAAGAAGAAGTAAAAGTTCATAAAAGTTTGACCATTTAAGGTTTTTTTTCATTTTCAACTTTTTTTTCAAATTCAAATGATAAATATGAAATCACAAATAACAATCAGAACGAAAACTAAACGAAAAATCAATTTGAGAAATCAATCACACACTGTATGTGTTTGGCCTCGATTTTTTCGAATTATCATTTTAAATGAGAGCGAAAATAAACAAAACAAAACAAACAAAATGTTACCATAGGAAACGGGAAGCAAAATGAAAAAAATCAAATATTTCCCGCCAATCGACCAAATTTTGATTGATTTTGAGTTCTGCATATACAGCAATTGAATAAATGCGTATCTCTCTCTCTCACTCTCTTTATGTTTGATTTTTCCGATTGGTGGTTACAGTTGAATGAATTTCGAAAATTTTCTGACCATTTTTTTCTTCTTTCGATCATCATCATTGTCGTTGCCCTGATCAGTATGATGATCCTTGTGATTGAAAATCGATATTGATCCTATTTCACACAGACACACACACATCGAGACAAAATATCAATCAAAAGATAAAAAAATAATAATTGAATTTTTTTTCAAATGTCACAGGTGTACCGTATTGTTTTGTTTTTGACCTAGAAAATATTTTCAAAAACAAA